GATAGGAACTGGAAACACAGGGAATCCAGGACAGATGAACCCTTTAGGACCAGTGGTGAGAGTGGCGATACCGGGAGGGTGGAGGGAGAATTGCGTAGAAATGAGGAACCGATGACAAGGATCTACATATAACCCCCTCCCTGGGGGACGGACAACAGAAAAGTGGGTGAAGGGAGACGTCGGACAGTGTAAGACATGACAACATAATAACAATTTACAAATTATCAAGGATTTGTGAGGGACGGGGCGTGGGGAGGGAGGGAAGGAAAAAATGAGGAACTGATACCAAGGGTTCAAGCAGAAAGCAAATATTTTGAGAATGAGTATCGCAACAAATGAACAAATCTGCTTGACACAATGGATGTATGTATGGATGGATTGTGATAACAGTTGTATAAGCCCCCAATAAAATTATTTTTTTTAAAAGAGTATAAACCAAAACTAAAAGAATGGAGGGGGCGGAATGAATAACTTATCAAAGAAGCGTGATGATTTCTCTCTGGAAGCCTCCCGAGGATTACAGTGCTAAGATTAGCTCTTGGGGTGATTCCCTCTGGGACGCACCTGCACAGAAGGAGCCATACTAGCAAGGCAGCTTTGGTCCACCCTGCCGCCTGTATATATGGATATATAAAGCCCCGAGGAACCAATGAGTGTTGAGCAAGTTGACTGTCAGCTCTCTTAGGCAAACCGGGTAGAGTCATCGGTTGGCTGGCTCATGGTGTTCACATGAGTCACTATGCACTTGTGTTCCATATTGCATCTTCCTGTTCAGCGTTCATTTTGTCTAGTGATGCTTCCGTCTCTCCGCCCCTCATCCATTTCCATTTTCACAACTAAATGGAGCTTCCCCGCAGGTTACGGACTCTGGCTCTGGTAGAAGGGTCGCTTCAACACTGTCTGGCTGGTGGCCAGGCGGTGTTTCATCCTGCGTCTTGTCCCCGCTGCTAGGTGCCTTCCCGATATTAAGCCTGTCTGCCTGGTGGTCGTCCCCGTGGTGGTCCTATTTGAAGATCCTGTTCCCTCTTCTGTGGTTTCAGACGAAGGCCCTCCACACCCGCTGGGAGAAAGGTTTCGCGTGGAGTGGACTGGGCATGGGGGGCTGGACTGGTTTCTGGCTGTGCGTCATGGCTGATGCTTGTGCTGCGCTGTGCTTTGGCAGAACCTAACACGTGTGATCGGGAGGAAGCTACTCCAAATTCTTGATGAGGAATGTCCCTATTCCACTAGGACCCCTTTATGTCCCGATTCTATTACCCTGTCAAAGGAAAAATGCTTTCTTTTGCATCCAAATGCTGAAAAAATGCCAGTATTTACCACTACTAGTGGCTTTATTGCCATCCGTAGCTCTGTCAGTAGTTCAGAGCAGTAGAACTCCCAGGTATACTGAGGGGGCTTCAGAGAGTTCTTGGGAAAAAGCCCATTCGTTCTTCATTCCATTTTCCCTGTACTTTTTGAAGTCCCTTCACATATTCGCATGCATTATCCCATTGTGACTACACTCATAAATGTGAGCCTGTAAGGCAGATAATTATCTCAGACCCAATTTGTCTGATCTAAAAGTAGAAGCGAGAACATGCGATCTGTGGACAGTCATGCCTCTTCCCGACCACAGCATAGGACCCAACCTCCTCTGTTTTCACAGTGTGAGTGGTAGCTCTAAATAAAGAGCCATACGGGGCCGGCTAGGGGTCACGTAAGGTCCCCATGAGTCAGAGCCTACTTGATGGCTGTTAACAACAGCCACCAGGGTCACCAAACTAGCTTATTCCATCCAGGATTAAAAGGTTCTTATCCTCCCCCAAAAGGACTTAATTCTCCAGACAGAGTTCTTGGGACATTTTGGTATGAAATCCTTCTAGTTCTTTGTTCCATAATTGCATTTCCACTACTGCCTTCTCTGTGCCGTGCTCAGCACTGGCTTTAGCCCATTTCGTAAATAGTATTATGACTATTTAATGAGGAAGAGATATGTAAGCCTTTCTCTCTTCCAGAAACACAGCAACCTTTGCCTGAGGACCCAGCCTCCCTCAGTTTCAGAGCAGTTCATTGGTGAGGAGAGGGCAGCAGTGGGCAGGTGGAACTGCGTGATACTTGATTGACTTTTGAGCATAGCCCACATGACCTTCGGGTTCCATCCTGGGCCCTATCTGAGAGCCAGCCTGACTTGTTGGTTAGGACAATCTCTGGTTTTCACAGGGAGACGGAATAAAGTAAATGGGGCAGGCAGGGCAACTAATTGGAGGATTGGTAGCGTGTTCAAAGCTGTACAATGTATACATGATGATCCAATACATAAACCCCCACCCAATTCACGAGTAAAAGTTAAAACCAAAAACTTTTGAGTGATGAAAGGGGTGCCCTGGTGGTACAGGGGTTAAGTCCTTGTCTTCCAATCCAGAGGTCGGTGGTTTGATCCTACCTGTCACTGTATGGGCGAAAGATGTGGCTGTCTGTTCCCATAAGGAGTGCCAGTCTTGGAAACCTCGTGGGGCAGGGCTGCAGTGCCCTGTAGGGGAGCGGGAGCCAGTTGACTCAGTGGCATCAGGTTTCTTGTTTGGGTCTGTAGTGATGACAAGTAGCCCCTGGGTGGGACAGACCAACAACTTGCCTGGCAGCTCTACCTGCGAAGCTTGGGGGTTGAGTGTGTCCAGGGTGCCTTGGGACACAGGCCTGTTGATCACATTACCAATCACCACTGGAAACCCGAAGGAGCAGAGTTCAGGG